CCGCTGCTTTGCCTAAGGCATTCAAATTAACTTAACCCAGGAGACTGGTTAATAAAAAGCAGATAATAGCCAGGTTACCACCACGTCATGCCAGCCCCCAGGACCGCTCCTGGTCAGCTGTGAACTGAGGAACTATGGAGGACTGTCTACCCTGGGAAGCTGCTTCTTTCCAATTTTAGGGTTAAGTTAAGGCTGGAAGGCAGCTCAAATGGCAGAGCACACGCCAGCATATGCCAGGCCTGAGCCTGGTCTCCGGCATCACAGGGCTACGTGTGCCGCGGGTCTTAATCTCCTTCAGCAATAGTTGGAGTGGCCCCCAGGCCCCTGGAAGCCCTGCTTGAGAGGTCCAGGAATAAACACTCCCGTTGATCGTCGATTTGCTCGAGCGGGCCCAGTAACGTCTCCATTGGAGACTTTATTGTTACTGTGTCTGGCATATCGAATACTCTCGGTAGCTTGCCAGGCTCTCCGAGAAGGAATAAACACTAATAGAATAAAATAGCCTCTCGTTGATCAAACAGATTAGGGAAACTAAAATAATTAAAAAACAAATTTCACTAAATGTACTTATGTAGCAACTATAGATTTCTCACCTGTTTCTCCACCTGCTCATTTATATACGTGGGAAGAAATCCCTGGCATACATTGGCTGTGGCCCAATAGAACCAAGGTCGTGCATTGGGCGATGAGTTGGGGGAAAGTCATATTTAAATGACAAAAAAAAAAGTAGGAGACAAGAGATTGTGAAAGAAGTTTGGGTTTGTGTGTTGGCTTCAGGGTCAAACTTGCAATTCTACCGTCCACTAGCAAGTTGGCTAGTCCACGTAAGTAACTTCCTCTAGACCTCTGTCGTTCACATGAGACCAATCTCTGTTTTTGTTTGTTTGGGGGACACACCCAGCGTTGCTCAGGGGTTACTCCTGGTTCTGCACGCAGGAATTACTGCTGGTGGGGCTTGGGGGACCATATGGAAAACCTGCCATGTGCAAGGCAAATGCCCTCCCCACTGCACTATTGCTGCACCCCTGACATGAGACCAACCTCTGGAGGTGACCAGGGAGGTTACAGGATGGTTTGCTTTCCCCAGCTGGCAGTTTGCAGTAGGAGCAGAATGAATACCTGTTTCCCGTTACGAGGAAGTTCACTGAACTATCTCCCCAGCCCAACACTTCACTGCTTCAGTTTTGTCTGTTTGATGGTTTGTTTGGGGCTACTTTGGGCTCAATGCTTGGGGGTTGCTCCCAGTCGTGCTCTGGGGCCATGTGGTGCTGGGAATATCCCTGGTCTTCTGCACGCAAAGCATACCGTCAGCCTCATGAGTTTCCTGCCCAGATCTCAACACCTTACTTTTTAAATAAAAATCCTAACCGATGCTGGTTTGAATAGTCTCAATACACCATTGTCCTACATACTTTGGTACCTATGATTCCATTGAATTCTGACATACGTGCTGAGATCTTTACTATCGTTTTTCACTCTTTGCCAGTGGAGAAACAGTTTTCTTGCCTGTAGAAGGGTGGTGAATGAGAGATTTAGGATTTCAACGCATTCAAGTCATTGCGAAGCTGGAACCAATCGTGTAGGTGCAAAGCCAAGGGGTGAAAGAAGATCGCCGGCCAGAGAGATGGCTCAAAGAGCTGGGGCTGCAAGCAAAACCCTTTACTTCTTCCTTGCCCAGCACTGCAGGCCCCACAGTTGGGTGGGGGTAGCCCTGGGCTCATCATCAAAGATCTCTCTGCCCCCGGAAGCATTCCTGATCACCATCTCCCTGAGCTTGTGTTCAATCTTCCCTGTTTTTTTTTCCATCTTCCTCCTCCTTCTCTTCCTCTGCCCCCTCCATCTCTCCCTTCTCTTTCTCCTCTTTCTTTGCCTTTTTTTCAGAGGGGCCAACACCCAGCAACCTAGCAGTGCTAAGGGTTTACACTTTGCCCTGTGCTCAGGGTTCACTCCTGTGGACTCTGGGGGAATATATTGGGTGCTAGGGATCCAACCCAGGTCGGCCACGTGCCAGGCAAGCAACCTACCCACTGTGCTATATTATCTGTCTGGGCCCTTGTCATGATTTTTTTATAGGGACCACACCCAGCAGTGCTGGGGGTGGGGGCCACTCCCCACAGAGCTTGGCTCAGCACCAGCAGGTGATGCTTTACAGGGCCACACCCATAGGTGCTGGAGCAGGGAGCTGGGTGGGCCCCCGCACAGCTGCGCATGTGCACGCATCACCTCTTCGGTCATTGGCCCTGACCCTTGGGCTAGATGTTAGATTAGAACGCGCAGAGCTGCCCCGGCTAGCAGAGACTTCGGTGCTGGTAACAGTTACCGACCATGTTCATTATTCATTTGAAAAGAGCTAAAAGTAGAACCGGGCACTCAAGAGGGACCCGTTGTCACATGGAGGAAACCTTTGACGTGGTTTTGGAACGAGGCTCTCATGCAAGCAATCTATCATTTTTAGGGGGGGAAGGAATTTTAATCACATGCCCTATCCAAAATGCGGCTCTGACCCTCCGCCCTGCTCCAGACACATACCCTCCCTTGCGCTCTCACTTCCTGCCTGTGTGACCTCCGCCATCGCTGCTTCTCACTCGTGACTGTGACGCAGAAATGCGGGAATGTGAATCCTGAGGCTCTTGACTCCCTGCGTTGATTTGGAGGAGCGGGTTGCCCTGTTGTCCTAAACCACCGATTTGTTGTGGGGATTCCCTTCTTGCAAGCACCCCTCTTCTTTCTGAGCGTTGTTTGAGTAGAAGAGAGGGTCTTTTGTTTGTTGGGAGGGGGCACTCCTGGCAATGCTCAGGGGCTAGTTCTGTCTCCGTGCTCAGGAGTAACCCCTGGCAGTGTTCACAGAATCGGGTGAGGTGCCGGGGATTCAAACTTAGCCGCAGGCTCTGCAGCCACATGCAAGGCCCGCGGTCTCCCTCCTGCACTGCTTCTCCAGCCTCCCTGTGTTTGTTTTTGTTTGGGGCCACGCCCAGCTGTATACTCGGTGTGGCTGTGTCATACTCCTGGCTCTGCACTCACGCATCACTCCTGGCAGCGCCTCCGAGGACCATCTGGGATGCTGGGATGGAACCCAGACTGGTCGTGTGCAAGGCAAGCTCCCTACCGGCTGTACTACAGCTCTGGCCACATGTCTCTTTTTTCACTTTGCCATCACCTGTCTTCTCCTTCCCCCTGAGAAAATGGGCTCAACGGGGGGTTTTGACAGGAGTTCTGGGGTGAGAGCTCTGGGAGTTTGACAGAGACTCCGAAGAGAATGCAAGCCAGTGACTTCTTACTCCTGGATGTCCAAAGAGAGAACGGGACCTCCGCGTGTCTCCAAGCCCAGTGGGACCCAGGGATGTTTGTGTAAAAGGCTCCATAGGAAAGCGGGGAGATGAGGAAGGTAGAAGGTGGAGGTCAGGAAGGAGGGCGGAGCCAGGGAGGAAACTGACATCACGGAAATAGTCAGAAGCCAGTAGCAAAGAGGACTGGGGAGGCAGGGAAGGCAGAGAAGGCCAGCGTGTCCTTGATTAGATGACCACAGTTTGGGTGGGAAGAGGGGGAAGCGTGAGAGCACCCAGGTTAAGGTGCTTGCCTTGCACACAGTCAACCTCTGCTGGATTCCTGGCACCTCACATGGTCTCCTGAGCACTGCCAGGAGTGGCCCCTGGGCAGAAAGCCAGGAATTTTCTCTGAGCACCCGCAGCTAGGGAAGCTAAGGAAGGGGGAGTGTGGTCATGGTCATAGCACTTCAAAATTAAAGGAGCCTGAGATGCTGATGGAGACCTAGGGGTGCGCAGGGCAGAGGAAGGGAGCAAGAATGAAGACCTTTGTCTTTACATTGACTCAGTCCCTTTGCGAACTGTGGGGCCACATTCTGTGCCAGATGCTGAGGGGGCGGGATGAAAGGACAGAATTCCTGAACACAAGGGTGTGATGCAGATCCGGGAGCGAGTGGAACCCGGGCTGGATGGCGGAAGAAAGGTTTGTAGCAGGTGGTCAGGGGTGAACTTAAAACTTCCCTGGGAAGGGGCTGCAGAGATAGCACAGCGGGTAGGGCGTTTGCCTTGCACGCGGCCGGCCGGGGTTCGATTCCCAGCATCCCATATGGTCCCCGGAGCACCGCCAGGAGTGGAGTAACCCCTGTGCATCGCCGGCTGTGACCCAAAAAGTAAAAAAAAACCTTCCCCTGGGAAGCAAGTCAGGGACGGCAAGTCAGAAGTTCCTTGAACGGAGAGAACCGAGCTGAAGACGGATCCACGGGGCGGGGAGCGGCCGGCACCCTGGGCACGGGGCTGGAGGCCGGGCAGGAGGAGGCACGGAGAAGCAGAGGAGGCGCTAGGAAACTGGGGCGCTGCGGACGAGGTCTCGGAAGCGGGAACCTGGAAACACCATCGACGCGAGAGGGACCGGGCTGGGAGGCAGCGGCGGACTGCGGAGCGCGGGTGGAGGGCGGAGACGCGCGGGCCCCGCTGGCCGACGCGGCCGGGAGCAGCGTGCGTGGGGCCCGCAGCCCAGGGGCCCCGCGTGCGTCGCTGCGCCGGCGAACTCGATGCGGGGGCGGCGAATGCACCGGGTGTGGGTCGGAGGCGCAGGCGGCGGCGGCGGTGGCCGCCTGCGAGGGGGGATGGAAGCCCCCGTGCCTGCTGCGCGGGGTCCGGAGCTGGAGCCGCGGTCGTGCCCGCCGTGCACCCCGTGGCTAAGGGCAAAGGCAGGGGCTGCTCCCGGCTGAGCGACGAAGGAGGCGCGGCTCCGGGCGGCGGCGGCGACGGCGTTCCCGGGGACGGTGGCCGCGGGCCCGACCTCCCGCAGCCGCCGCCGCCGCCGCCGCCGCCGCCGCGCGCGCGCGGCCGCCGTTGCCCAGGCGACGGCGCGGCCCCGGCCCCGCCCCTCCCGGACTGACAGCGGCGGCCGCACGGCGCCTGCGCACTGCGCTCTTCCCCCGCAGTCTCGGTGCGTTGGAGCCGGAGACCGCGGCGGCCTCGACTCGGACCCCGCGCCCCGGAGCCGCCGCCGCCGCCGCAGCGCTCGCCGCCGCCGCCGCCGCCCGCCCGCCCGCCCGCCCGCGCCGCCGCCGCCGCCGGAGCCCCTCGCGCACCGTGAGTCCCGCCGCGGCCGCGGGCGTCGCGGGGCTGAGTCAGCGGGAGGCCCGGGCCCGCGCGGGGTGGGGGGAGGAGGGGACGGGGCGCCCCCCTCGCGCGCCCCCGGCCCGCCGAGCCCTCGCCCGCGCGCCCGGCCACTCCCCCGCGCTGCCCGCCGTCCGGACCCACCTGCGCGGGGAGGGGCCGGGGGTCCCCTTCCCGCTGCTCCCCGCGGCGCGCCCGCATCTCCGCCCGCATCTGACCGCCCGCCCCGCTCCCATCCCCACCCCCAAACTGCTTCCGTCCGCCCTTGTCCTTATTCCTCTGGGGCCTGCCAGCGCCGGCCTCCCCGCATTCTCGCAGTCGTGTGCCAGACCCGGAGTGACGGGCACGAAGGAGGAAGGGAGATGGGGGACCGGGACGTTGTCGCGGCTCCAACCTCGGGGCCTGGTGCGCGGTCGGCCTGGTGCTGCTGACAGCTCGTGGGGCGCTCGGAATAGGTTTGGCGGAGGATGGGGGCCCATCGGGAACCCCTCCCTGCTTGGCGAACACCCCCCACCCCCCACCCAGTGCATGGTTGGCCTTCCAGTGGACCGAGCTGTGTCCCTGGGGCAGGGGAGGACGCGTGGCCGTGGGGAGTTGGGGTTCCTGCGTTGTTGTGAATAAGCATCCTGCAGTGTCCACCCGGATGACGAGCAGCTGGGGGGACGGCCTGGAGAGCATCCCCAGGTGTGTGTTTGAGAGGTGGCAGAACGGGGCCCTCGTTTCATCACTGTGTGAACCAAAGGAGCGCTGAGGTTTTGCCGTAGTTTGGCTCTGATGCCAGCAACCCCCACCCGGTCTCCTGCAGCTCTGAGTCTTTGTGGGCGCTGTCACCGGATTGGGGTTCGGGCAGAGTTGGGAGACTCCCTGGTTTTGTTTGCTGCTGGTCCAGCTGCTCATCTTGCATTCCCCGATCCAGCAAGAGACCAGGGTCCCAAACGGGTTTTTTCCCCTTTCCAGCGGAAACGGAGCGAAAGTTAAAGTTGGTGCCTTTCAGAAGCTGTCTCTGAGTAAACATGCCTGGACCGAGCTCTCCTAACTACCAAACTGCCCTGCCAACTTCCTTTGATTCTCTCCCCCACCCCCTCCAGCTTCTAGATTTTACTGCACTTCTAAAAATGTAAAATATATGTAAATCACCAGTTAAGGTCTACAACAGGACTTGGGCTGCAAAAGGAGGTGTGTGTATGGGGTGGGGGGGGACGTGCCTCGCTTTTGAAGATCCAGGTGAAAAGAGACACTAGTTTGGAGTTTCTGGCCTGGCCACGGAGAGAAGGAAGGGTTCCGCTCCTGAAACTGTGCTCAATCATGGCCTGTTGGCAGCCTCCCCTGCGCCCCGCCCTGCCCCCATGCCCATCAGATTAGTTTACAGCGGCCGAAGACGGCTGTCGCCCTAGTTTTAAACATAGAGACGAAGTTGGGGGAGTCTGCAGCCCCCCGCGCGGCCAGGCTGTGCCTTTGGGTGTCGGATGCCAGCGTGGGGTTTGGCGGGATGCACCTGCCTGCAGACAGCGGGAACGGTGGGTCCGAAGACTCACATTCCTTCTGTGTGGTCCCCCCACCCCGGGTCGGATGGCTTACCCAAATACCCAGGCAGGGCAGGAGACAGCTGTGCCCAGAACTGCTCCTCCTGTCGGGAGGGTATTTTGGGAATCAGCGATAGGACGGGGCTGGAGAGCTGTGAATTAAGAAGCAAGAAAATGTGTCAAGGCTGGCTGGCAGGGGCGGGGGCGAGGGGGCCGCGCCTGCCGTGCTCCGGGCTCCCGCCTTGCCAGCAGAACGGCGGTTTTTATGTGGGTGAGCTCGCCTTTGAAATCCACCCCGGGCTTTTACGAGACAGACGCTCCTGGGGTGCCTTTCAGAGGGCCACTCCTGGGAGATGGGACCGATTCCCGGGCCTCGGAGCTCGTCGGTCCAGCTGTCACTGGAGCTGATTCGTCAGATGGGGGAGAGGGCCTTGAGCTGAGCTCCAGTGACATCTCTGTCATCCGTGTTGTGGTTTTGTGGCATCGCGTTTCCTTGATTCTGAGACACACCCGCAGTTTACCAGCAGCTTCTAGGTAAACTGATTTCATGCTGCCCAGTGAAAACATGTTGATCCCCAGGTGCGTCCTGATTTCAGGAACATTCGAATGGCCAGGAAGTGGCAAGACTTAAAGTGGGGATTTGTGTATCTTACAAGAACGATCCCTGGGGTATTCCCAGGTGTGTGGGGGTGCCCTCTCCGGGTCTTTGCCGTATGAGGACAGGCGTGCTGAGTCCTTACAGTGTTGGTCATATTCGCAGGATGATTGACGGGAGTCCGGCTCGGTGCTTGGCTACTGAACAGAGGAATGTTCCTGGGAGGGAATCTAACCCAAGGCTTAAATATGGCACTTTCCAGAAACTCAGCCAGCTGGCTGCCAGCAAACATCATACTTACCTGAAATCAGTCAGGTAACCTCTTTCAGAAGCTGAGCAGGACAGTGTGATTTTTCTAAAGCAGAGGGGGCATCAGCCCTGATTGGTTCACACATTTATAAAGACCCTTGAAGCACATGTCCCACTCCCCGACACCCCCACCCCCCCAAAACACACACAAGAGGGAGAGAACCTAGGATGATGGAGTTCAGGAGCAAGGGAAAATAGAATGGATTTCAGAGCCCTCGTTTCTAGATTTTGACTTTCGACACCCAGAATTAAGTGACTTGCCCAGGGTTACCCAGCTCATACAGAAAGTATGCTGTGTCCCATGTGAATGAATGTGGGTGGTTATTAGTGGCCAAGACAAGACTAGAACCCAGATTTCCAGATGAGAGCCGGCATTGCTGTCCACAGCACCACATTGCCTCATCCCTCCGGTTTAATATTCCAGAGGCTTTAAGAAAAGTAATTTAGTAGCCTGTAATTAGCCCTGTAGACAAGGGCTTTTTTTTTTTTTTTTGTCTGAGAGGTTGCAAAAGCTGGGTGAGATTTAGTGTCACAGGTCTAATTAAATATGCATTCTTACCATCTTAAAAAGAATAATTTTTTCTTACACATTCTGACTTCTGGAAGGTTCTTCTTTTTTTTAATTCACATCATCTAACATCCAGTAAATGCCCAGTGGGGTTTCTGAAGCCTCTTCAACTTTGTGCCTCTGAGGGGCTCGCTGCCTTTCAGAAAGTAGGGTCCAGGGTGCTGCCCAGATGCAGATTATCCCTGGGTGCCCCGATGTGACCCTCGTATTCAGATACCGTGGGGAAGGGCCTTCGGAAAGCAGGTGGACGCGAGTTCAGAGCTTGGCACTGCTCTTGCTGCGTCCTGGCTTGGTGGCCTGGGTCAGTTACCTCGCCCGCCCGTCTGTGTCTCCAGGGGCCCGTGAGGATTAGCTGAAAGCTGGCATGTCGAGCCACAAGAGGTGGCAGTTGTTATCTTCAAGCATCAGTGTATAAAATGAAAAATGTTTGCCAAATGTGGCTATGACCTAATCCATCCAGGACGGACTGTGTGTTTCTGTCTGTCTGCTCTCTCTCTCTCTCTCTCTCTCTCTCTCTCTCTCTCTCTCTCTCTCTCTCTCTCTCACACACACACACACACACACACACACATATACACACACATGTTGGTGCCATATAGCCCTGACACTGAGTGGTATCTCGAGGACCCACATAGGAGTGTGTGAATGCCCCTTTGTCTGCATGTGTTTGGCTGACCTGGTTGTCTGAAGGACCAAGTGGGTCCGGATCAGTGGCTCGGAGGAACCCGGCTGTGAGTGCTCGTGGGAGTGGAGCATCTCCTTCTCGGTGTGAGGCAGAAAGCCTGCCAGGTTCTCATCTCTACCCTCTTCCTGCCCCGGTGCAGGTGACTAGACCAGGAGCTGTCTGTCTTGGGGAGGAGGAGGCATAAAGGGAGGTCACTGGGGCTGGTAATCGTCCCAGATAGGATCAAGGCAGAGGCTGCCACGTAATTAAGGAGGCCGGCAAGCCATTCAGGTGGGACAACGCAAATGATTAAGTTCCTATAAATTTCACTGGGCAGGGAGCCACGGGGAGCCGTCGGGAGAGTGGGAAGGCAGGGCCCGAGAGGCGGCGCAGAGTCAGGCGCTGGCCCTGCAGCAGTGCAGGTGCCAACTGACCCCAGTTCAGTCCCTGGCACCAGCATCACATACGGTCCCCGAGCACCACTGAGTGTGCCCCTGCACAAAAAAGAAAAAAGACTGAGAAGGCAAACGCAGTCTGTCTGGGACCCAGTCCTGGGGGTGTGCAGAAGGTATAAAGGAGACCCAGAGGGGAACTTCCACTTGACACGCTTTTTAGAGGCATGATGACAAGAAGCTTGGAAGCTTTCGTCATTTAATGCAAACCTTTGGAGTCGGCAGTGGTTGTTTTTAGTAAAGGCGTTTGGTTCAAACAAAGTTGCTGCCTTGACTGGGAGCCATCAGGGGCACAAGGGGTGGGCTCCTTCCTTCCTGCTGGCACCCTGGCGAGGGCTCACAGCACAGAGTACCCCAGTCCCGGCCTTCCTCACCTCCTGTTACAGCCTTTCCACCTCCTCTGACTCTGACCGGTTGACATCATCATTGCTATTCCAACAAGCTAGTTTAACCTTCAACCATTGACCAAAACGGCCTCTGACCTTTATGAAAAGTACATGTCCCTTCTTGTTTTGTTTCGTTTGGGGTTTTTTTTTCATATTTTTTCTTCTTTGGGAGCCACACCCTAGCTTACTCCTGGCTCTGTGCTCAGGGATCACTCCTGGCAGGTCTTGGGGGGCCATCTGGGGTGTTGGGGATTGAATCCAGGTTGGCTGTGTGCAAGGCCAGCACCCTCGCTGTATTGTCTCTCTGGCCCCGCTACCAGCCCCTTCTTCCTTCTGGTTGGTGGGTTTAGGGCCACACCTGGGGGTGTTCAGAACTCATTCCTGGCTCTGCAGTCCCGCGGGGGCTCAGGGGACCATATGGGGGTGCTGAGGACCAAACCCAGCCATGCTGAGTGCAAGGCAAACTCCTTACCCAT